AAAGAGAAGCAACCTTAGCAGATGCTAATTTAGCAATTAATTGTATGTATGATTTACATGAAATGTTATCCAAGAAGATGTAAAGAAGTGAACTCGGTGAGAGGTTTGCCATTTATCAATATAGGAATGTCAGCAGTATTGCGATAGTTGTTTGCAATAAATAACTGAGTTTTGTTGGATTTAAAATTTACTAGCTAATGCAAACCCCAATCTATTACAGAAGTGAGATCAGATTCAAGATTGGCTGCTTGTTCTAAGCGATTGAAGCGATTGATTGTTCTAAGAGAAGACAGGAGAATAAAGTTGAATCATCAGCAAATAGAGCAACTTTAGATCTAAGGGTGTCGGGAAGATCATTAATGTAGATAAGAAACAAAATAAGATCAAGGATAAAACCTTGAGGTACCCTAGAAGTTACTAGAAATGAAGAAGAGTATTGGTCTTCAAGGATGACTTTAATAAAGCAGTTAGAAAGAAACAATTTTATAATCTCAAAAACCTTCCCAGATACACCATACAAAGCAAGCTTATGGAGAACACCACAATGGCAATTTTGTTAAAAACTTTATATATATATATATATATATATATATATATATATATATATATATATATATATATATATATATATATATATATATATATATATATATATGTATATATATATATATATATCAGGCCTTGTTAAGAAGCGTTACGCAGCTCGCATTTTGCCTGCGGAAAGGCGATTTGCCTACGCGTTCAGCAGTTATGCGTTACGCAAAAACTTTTATCTTTAAGAATATTTAAATTATCTTTTTATATCGTTTATGTGACGTTTATTCAGAAGTATTAAAGTCGTAAGTAAAAGCATTTAACCGCAATTGTAAACTAATAGATTTTTTGTTAAAGAAACAATTTGTTTAATTTTTTTTTTTTTTTTTTAAAATTACCTAAAGAAAATAAAATGTTTTAAGTTTAAACTTTTCATCATATTTAATTTTAAATATTAGATTTCATAAGTTTATAAACAATCAAATTTAAAAAAAGAAATATTTTCAATTTATTTTAAAATTTAAATATTTTTTTAATAATTATAGTTTTTAGTAAATAAATTTATTAAATTTAATTAAAATTCTTTCATTTAATTTTAAAACAGAGCATTTTAAAATTTTTTAATTTTAAAATGCTCCGTTTTTTTAATAAAATTACCAAAGTAAAAAAAGATTTGATAAATTTAATTCAAGTTACTTTAAAATGTTCCTATTACATATAACTTTATTTTAATTTTAGTTAAGTTTCAGGTAAGTTCCAAATACTGGTCTGAAAGATGCGCTTACAAAAGCGCATTATTTTCCAGTTTTTATTTTTCCATTATTTTACAGTTTCATTCATTATTTACAGAAGCGCATTATTCATTTTATAACTACAAGTTAATAAATGACGTCAATACTTTTAAACTCAAGTTATAAATGTTGTGTTTGGGTTTTCCCTTTGCCGTTTGCCAAAGAATTTTTTTTTATACAACAAACCAAGGACGTATTAACAATACGTCCTTGAACAAACTAAAATACAAACCTATTAAAAATAACGTGATCAGTAAATAAACTCTTTAAAAACCCAACTTATCTTTATTTTATTTTAAAAATAAAACTAGTACTTGAGCTATAAATATAAGATACATAAATTTCAAAATTATAATGATATTTGTTAAAAATATATTCTGCTTATAACATCTGAAAACCAAAAACACTTTTTTTTTTTTGGATTGAGAAAAAAAATATTAGGTTTCACTGTACATAAAAATAAAATAGTTTAATGGAAATAAAAAAAAAATAAAGCCGAAAAAGCAGTAAATTTCGTTTCTTTACAACATTTATTTTATCAAAACAAATGTTTTTTTTAAAAGGGAAAACCCAATCTATGCGTTTAGTTATAAGTACATTTAAATCCCTTTAAGAAAATCAACCATAAACAAGTGTTAAATTTAAATTATTTAAAAAAAAAAAATAAAAAAAAAAACAACCATAAAACGAATGTTTAAAAGCAAAAAAATTAAGTTTAAATAAGCATAAGATTTTAATACAAGAAGACTATTTTTTTAACCAACATTGAAATTTTTTTTTTTTATAACAACATTGTACAATTTAAAGCTATTTCGTTTCAAAGACTAACAATAGTTTTTAATGTCATTTTAAATTTAATTACAAAGAAGTAATAACGCAACTGACATAAATTAACTTTTAACAATGTAAATATCTTTATTGAGTAAAGTTACTTTTATTCACGTTCAGCTTTTCCGTTACGCAGCGAAATCTCGTAACAAGGCCTGATATATATATATATATATAGTGATTTCGCCGGTTATCCGTTTCAAAAACCGGATAACAGTTCCCATAAATTTGCGGTTAACCGACTATTCGGTATATTAGTGACGCTTTCTGAATACAGGATCTTCTAAATTTCAACATTTTCAAGACAGTTATTGAATACAGTCCTATATTATATATTTATAACAAAACATGGAAAAAGATATATATATATTTTATATTATAATATAATATGAATAATATATTTTTTTAATTATATAATTAAAAAAGGTAGGAATAATGTACAAGTATAGTTTAAATGTTTTAATATCAGCGGATGTTTGAAATCATTCTCTCATATAAAAACATTTGATTTGGAAAAAATATAAATAGTAGCTTAAATTTCTAATAGCGGCTTTGCAACTACAAATGATTTTTTATAGAAAAAATAATAGAGTAACAAATAAAAAAATTACATTATTATTTTTTTTTTATCAGAATAAAATTATATATTTTTATTAAATTAGTTTTATATTGAATTATATATTTTTATCAGAATAAAATTATATTATAATGGACTTAGCTTCAAGCTTAAAGTATTAGCATTTTTAAGGAAAAAAAATCAGTTATTACAATAAAATGAAAACAAAATTAAATTAAATTTTTAATTATATTTTTCATTAGTAACTAGCGCTTATATCTAACCTAATTGTCATTCAAACTTTTGTCACTAAAGTTTTTGCATAATTGTCATTCAAAAGTTAATGTGGCTTTTTTAAAGTAATTTTATCTTACCGCTTATAATTTAAAAGTTAAAAAATGATAAAAAGTCGCTTAACCAAAATCGCTAACTGCTTATGTAAAATTGCTTAAGGCGTAGAAAAAATGCTCTACACATAACACTTTAAAACAAGACCTATTTTGTTATTCACCTCCTCAAGGCCGGGAAAGGCACTATAGGCGGTTAGGTTACTTAATAGTGATCATAACCCTCTTTAAACTCTATATCTCCAAAAGAACAAGGTCGCTGCACTGAGAAACAAGTTGATATATATATATATATATTTATATATAATATATATATATACATGATATATATATATATAAAATCAGAACTCAGTGTTTTTCATGTATTGTGGTTATCTTTTGTAACTAATTTATGCCTAATTTAAGTTTAATTATCCAATATTTAGTGCATGCTCAAGTTCATTTTCTATTCAACAGGTTCAATATTGTTTTAAAAAAATTAAGATGATCTATTTTCTTCAAAAATAGATCATCTTAATACTCAAATAACATAAAATTTAATATAAATCAAATAAAAAAATGGAAAAAAAAAAAATATTCCAAAACTTTTAGAAGTTCATATTTTTTTATTTTGATATAAAAACTGTAGTTTTTTCGAAATAAAATCTAAATGATTAACATAAAGGATTTTCAAAGCACATTTAAAACATTGATTTGTGATTTTTTATCTAAAGGGGGTTTTGAGGCACCATAATATTTATATATACATAAAAAAAAATATATATATATATAGAGAGAGGATATCTTTGAGTTATTGAGTGATTTCTACTTGTTTTTCTTGTTTGTTAATTAATCATGATGAAGCTCAGGGGGCAGAAATAAAACCTTAGTTGTCCATTTATTTAAACCTTTAATCCAAATTAGCAAAATGGAAAAAGTGAAATGTTCATTTGGCATTAACATTATGTCAATTTTTTTCCAAAGTTTGACTTGAACAAGAATCTTTTTCTATTTTAAAGCCTTTTTTACACTGCACTTTTTAATGCACATTTTTTAATGCATGTTTACTTTCAGTTTTATTAACTCAAAAGTTGAGAAAACTGAGATGTCAACAAGACTCTATTCTATCTATCTAAGACAGTTTGCTAAGCGGTATGGAAACTTCATTCTAAATTTAAACCTACATGGAATAGATTTAAACATGTAGAAGAATATACTCAACATTAAGAGCAACTGAGTTGCTACTTTTAATGGAAAAAGAGTTTAATTTAACGTTAACTTTAACATGGTGCTCTAGAGCTGGATAAAAAATTATTTAATTTTTTGTTGGATTATGTACCATATATGCATTAATATTGTAAATAATTTAAAATTTTTTTACTGTTTTAAACTTTGTTTAAAGTAATTGAAGTTTAATTTATATATATTTTTTTAATGGGCATCTAAAATGCTTAAATGGGTTTAGGACCCCTCATTTTTATCCTTTGCCTCGTTTGTGATATCATTTTTTTTTTATTTTATAAACACTCTTTTCTATTTTTATAGAACAAATACTCTAGAATAAAAAAGGTTTCATTAAAACCAGTCTTTTTGGCCACCCGTGTATGCTAATGTAAGCAAAAACAAATAAACATCACATAAACTATCTTAAAATTTTCTATGTGGAAATTGTTTGGAAAAGATTTATTGTATAGTATAAAGTTAAGTTCTGTGTAATATTAAATTAAAAAATTAGTTTTATCTTTATTGAGAATTGAATCAAATATTAAAATATTACAACAAATGGTCCTAAACTTATGGCCTACAATGTATATAGTTTATATACATATATTTAATAAAACATTTATATACTGTGGATTTATACCATATTATACTTGGTTATTACAAATTCCATATTATACTTGGTTATTTACTTTTTTAAATGAGTTTTAATAATTTTTTAGTCAATTTACTGTTTTAATCTAGTGGAATTTTGAACCTCTTTTCACTGATCAAGGACATGCAGGATACATCAAAACAGTTGCCACTGGTGGTCGGTACTTAGCTTCTGGAGGGAGTGATGAAACAATTAGGTATGTATATTATAAAACACAATTGTATGAGGAAACAAAAATTGAAGTAGTTGTTTTTAAAACCTCTTGCAATATACCCTGCATATATTATTTCAACAAATCTGTGATTTATACTAATTAGTATACTTAATTATATTTAATTGTTATTTTTCAATTACCACATTTGAACAAAGGTTTGACCATTTCCTAAAAAGTTTGACCATTTCCTAAAATGCTTTTCTTTATACCGTTTTTCTACACTCTTTCCAAGTTTTACTACTTCTACATTTTTCTTTTTAAGTCTCTCTACTGCTTACACACAACTATTTAAATTTTTATGCTGTTCTTTTTAATGCCCAAACAAACTTAAGTTCCCTAGAACAATTTATCATAAACACTTGCAATTCATAGTTTATGACTAAGCATTTCTCTTTTTTTCAATTCTTAACCGTAACAAGTTAACAGTTAACTTGCGGTGCTCTATGATAAGACCGTAAGGACTTCTGGGAGCACCTAAATAAATACAAAAAAAAAAAAAAAAAAAAAAAACATAGCACTAATTTAATTCTTCTTTATGCTTTTCAAATGCTTCATATTATCTACCTTCACTAAATTTTGATTGAAGTACAAATTTCAGTTTAACAGTAACTGTACAGTTTGTACTTTTTTTTTTTTCTTTTTTTGCATATCAAAAATAAATTAATGCTTAACAAATAGACCAGCCCAGAATAGTTTTTAAAGAAGCTATTTAAGTAGTTTAATGCTATTTAATATTTTTTAATGATTTCTAAGCTATTTAAAAGTAGAACAAATTTAGAGTTTAAAATCAGTTTAATAATCAGTATTTACTTATGAATAAGCATTTTTTTTTTTTTAAAGTAAATTTACCTCTTAAAGGCTCTAGAAAAAGGCACTAGTGTCTACGAAGGTCATATGTATATATATTTAAAATTTATTTGGAATTCTCTTAACTCTAAAACACAAACCTTGTTAAGGTTTGTGTTTTAGAGAGGTATATGGTGGATTTGCATCTTTATTTTTTTGCTGAAACCTCTTGAGTTCTACCACTAGTCTACTACCGCATCATTTTTAATTTATAGTCAGTGATGAACCTAGAGTTTATATGTTGATTGTGTTATTTTTTGAACTAAAATTTGATAATAATACATTAACAACACTATATAATAAATTTTTACTTTTGTCTTGTCCTTGGGTTGAAAATGTTCTTTCCTAATCTTTTTTTCTAAAAACTAACATATACTAGCTACTGTTCCACAAAAACTTTGTTTCTGTGACTAAGAAAATGATATTCTGGAGTATGTGAATAGTGTTTTTAAAGAAGCATATCTTTGATACTCACTTCAATAAATTCAAGGAGAACATAAGAGCTAATTCAGAGTAGCAAGGCAAGTGCTTTCATCAACATGTATTTGAAATTGAACATTTATTTTATAATATATTTGTATAATTATGTGTTCATATATTTTATATATAAACATAATTATATAATTTGATCAGGGTATATTAAAATTTGAACATTATTATTAAGGGCATTATAATGAAAACATGACAGAAGACTGTATAGTACACTTGCAATTCTAGAAAATCTACTCATTTCTGATGCTTTTTTAGGGATTTTCTACTGTTTTTTTTTTTTTACTGAAAAAATGAAATTTTCTTAATGTGCTGTGATCACAAAATCAAAGATGTAGTGTTTTTCCATAGTCTTTAGTACAATTTGTTAAAAAATGTATTTAAACATTCACTTGGTCGATTTTCTAAAGAGGCTGTCATTTTTACCACACTGCGTTTATATTGAAGAAAATATTAAAACAAAAAATTTGTTTAAACTTTTTAAAACTATAAAATAATAAATGTTTGAGCTAAATTTTTTTTTGATTAAAACTAAATAAAAAATGTAAATCAAGATAAGCTTGTAGTTTTGGTTGAAGATTTTTCATTTTATTTTCAGTCTTCAGACATAATTATTATAATTTTGTAAATTGAATTGCATCACTGCTGACTGCAACTGTAAAAGTGTATTATGAAGGCCTTGAGATGAGAATAGAGAATGGAGAATTAAAATGGAGAAATTAGATTTGACTACAAGTTTAGTTGTTCTTATTATATATTTATCATTAAATTAAAAACCAGTTTTTTTTAAAAAAGTTGTGTATAATATGTATATAATATTTATTATATATATATATATATATATAATATGTATTATATAATAAAATAGTACTTAATTTTTAAAATTAGCTTGTAAAAGTTGTTTTTAGAGGTTGCTCAAGATATTTAATCACTTAACTAGCCTCTAGTATTATTAAAAAAAAAATTTTTAAAGTATGTCAAACTTATTCTCAAAAAAAGCAAAATTATATAAAATTTAAAAAAATGGAAATTATTTTTAATAATTTTAATTATTATGTCTAATTTATTAATTTTTTTTTTCTCTTATTGTTTTTTACTTTTACTTTTTCTCTGCTAATAGAAATAAAAAATAAAAACTTTTTATTATCTCCTTTATTTTAGACTTTTTGATATGAAAAAACATGTTGAACTGGGAACTTTAATGCAACAGAGTGGTAATTTGTTTTCTTCTGTTTTCTTTTATTTGCTATTTGGATTATTAATAAGAAATATGTCATTTTTTTATTTATAAATTAAATAGACATTTTATATGCATTGATCTTTTAATAAAAACAAAAGCTGATTTTTTTTTGATGTTCCAAATTTTTTTTAATGTGAAGATGCTTTGCTCTGTTGTTAGTAAAATTTTAAATATTTTTAGGATCAGTAACTAGCATAAATTTTTTTGGATCTCAACATATGCTCAGTGCTAGTGAGGATGGTACAATATGTATATGGAAATGTAAATCATGGGAGTGTGAGAAGGTTTTAAAAGGACACAGGTAGTTAAAAGAAAAATTCAGTTACAACACTTTCTTTGCATCTTTTTATTATACAACTTTTTATAGAGGACCTGTACTATCTATTTCAATTCATCCAACTGGTCGACTCGCTCTTTCAGTTTCAAAAGATAAAAGTATAAAGTAAGTCAAGTATTATTTTGATATTATTTATAGTTTATATATTTATTATAGTTTATGTTTATATTTAGATTAATATTTTTTTATTTATTTATGAGGCTGTAGGTAAGTGTAAATTTGTATTTAGTAGATTTAAATAAAACCTAGTACCATCTTTAAAATATAGATCCATAAATAATTAGGCAACGCTTAGGTTTGTTTGACTTTAAAAAGAGTAATCTCTTGATTTATGTTTAAAAGATTCTGTTAATTTTAGATTTGTTTGACAAATAATTTTAAATGATTCAGATAATGCTTCATTCTATTTAGAATTTCAATTTTTTTTTTTTTTTTTTTGTAAAGAAACCAAACAGAATTAAATATCAAATCAATCAGTAAGGGTGTTTTGAAAAACAATAATGTAGTGTGGTCATGTAAAATGTTATGATACAATTAATTATATGCTTGCATGTAGAGATGGTCTAGACTAGCAAGGCAAAGGTAGAAGTAGGAAAATAGTGTTTAGCAGGCAAAAAACTATTAAAGAAATGGCATTGTATAAAAGTGACAGTAAGTTTAATAACAGAAAAAATATTAACTTTTAGATAAACTAAATAACTGTTTTGAACTTAAATTACTTAAGCTAAATATTTTTAAAATCGAACTGAAAATTTTACTTAGTGTTCTGGTAATATAGAACTTAATTCACTTAAGTTCAGGGCTTTAATTAATGGAAAAAATGTCATATTAAAAAAAAAAGTTCAACTGTTCTAATTTGTTAAGAAGTGAAGGGAGGGAGAGCTAGTGTTGTGCTATAAAAGTTGTTTATAACTACAATATTAAAAATAGAATCTACAGCTAAAACTATAAAGTAGTTTCATATTAAAAAAAAAAAAACATTTTTTAAAAATCTGTATATCTAGTATTTATAAACCTGCGACTCAACAAAACAAATAACTTAATCTAAATTAATTGGTTTACTTTTTTTTTCTTTCAGAAAATTGTTTTACAAGCAAATATTTAGCCCTTGGAAATAGAAAAAAGCACTATTTTTTAGTTGGCATCAAAGCGGCACAAAATGTTAGAAAATAAAGTTTCACCATAAAAACATAGAAATAAGGTTGGCAAAATGTTGCTAATTTGCAAACAAATTGCTTACTTTAGTTTTACTCACAATTTGCAAACAAATTGGTTTACTTATTTTGAGAAAAACAAATTTCTGAAAATAAAGTAAATCAATTAAGTTGGATTAGGTCTGTTTTAAGATAATATATATCTAAGATATACATCTAAAAATACATTTTCCTAATATATTTTGTACACTAAAATAATTTTTAATGAATTTAAAGCGCATATTAATTCTTAATATATGCAATTAAAACAGAAAGTAAAAAAAATATTTTTGGATTTAGATGAGTTTTTTTGAGAATTTTTGTTTTTAGAAGAGTTCTCTCCAACTCAAAAATTTTGATGGGTCCTAGATGGCATGTCAACATGAAACTCAAAATATGCAGAACTAGAATATAGTATGCTGATTTTAAAGATGTTGATTTTCATTTAAAATTAAAATTAAAAAACTAAAAATTATATTTTTTAAAATAAAACCCTCATTTGGACATAACTTGCAAGAAATCAAAAATTTTAGCTATACTTTTGTTCTTACTTTTGGTTCTTAGAGGAACCTCAAGAACTTGTTTTTTTCAAAAAAAAAAAAATAATAAAGTTGTTTTTTACTAAAAGACAATAGTTTGCAATACAGGCAAATCTAATTTCAAAAGTTTTTAAAATTGCTTCATTCTATTATACTGTAAACTTGTTTGATGTGGAGGGTTACTAATACTGTAAACTTGTTTTGTTATTGAGGGTTATTTATACTGTAACTTGTTTTATTATCAAGGGTTACTTATACTGTAAACTTGTTATACTATGTAAACCTTTTATAAATACAAAAAAGAATTTCTAAATAGTTTATATGTACTTGGTAAAATAACTTAACTATGTAATTAATTACCATAATTATCACTAGAAATTGTAGTTTTTTTTTTTTAATTTCTTGAAATTTAAATTATAAAGACTAAACATGTTTGTTTATTGACTTTAAAATTTCAGATATATTAGGTAAAATGCCCAACTTTGTTCAAAGGTTTGAAAATAAGTTTGAAGCTCTTGTTAGGATTGATAGCATAGTAAAAAAATTATTTTTAAGTGAATAAATATTCATATTAAATTTTCTCTTAAAGCCATTTCCAGTCTTTGCTGATATGATTGCGTGTAAAAGTTCATTTCAAATTGAGGCCACTCTAATTGTTATGAAATTTGTAATTCATTCTTGCATTACAGTTTTTAACAGTAATTCTTTTTAACAGTTCTTAGTTTATGTCCTTGTATCCCAATTGCAGGTCTAGATATATTGATTTATGAAGCTTGGTTAGGATAATTAAATACAATTATATCTATTTCATTAAAATTTTCAATAGCAACAAAATTATCTCTATTGTCCCTCTAGTTCTTTTATTTTTCTATGTTGTAAAGTAGAAGAATTTTAATGTTGTAAAGTAGAAGAATTTTAATGTTGTAAAGTAGAAGAATTTCAATGTTGTAAAGTAGAAGAATTTTATTGTTGTAAAGTAGAAGAATTTTTAACTCAGTCTCTTAATCAGAATTGCATTAATCAAAACTCATTTTTTTTACTTTTTCAAGTGTATGAACATCATAATCATAATGCTTATTTTAAGTTTGAATGGAATACTCGAGATGTGGTATAATTTTAGCTTATTAAATTGCATCATTTTAATATCAATTTTGTTAAATGTGTTTGACCAATGTGAATGGCTCTTAAAGCTTTACTTGCTGTTTACAGCAGTAAGTACTTTGCCATCCTTTTCTCCTTTTTATCATAGTTTCATCCTCATCTCTTCTCCTTTTTATCATAGTTTAATAATAAATGTAGATTATTTAATTTAAATGTTAAAACTGAAATGAAAAATAAAACTAAAATGTTAAAATCAGATTTATAATTTTGAGTTAGTAGTAGTAGCCCATGGAAAAACTCTTTATGAAATTAATACTGGAAAAAAGTTCAACTGATAAGTCTATCAACAAGAAAACTTATTGTTTTAAAAATTTAAAAGCCTATTTGAACATCCTAATTTTAACTTTAGCTGAAGATTCTATGAACTTTTGAAAAGCATATATAGAAGGAAAGGGGATAGCAGGAGAAGATAAACGATAGAAGTGAGCTGGCTGAATTAGGACTTCCCCTTTTTATAAAATCAGGAAAACTAGAGCATGCCCGTTTTCTTGGTAAAGCAAATTACACAAGACACTTAAAGTAATCTGTTTTTAATCATTTTTGGGTCCTTTTTTTTCTAAACATGTGCTTTGAGGGCAAGGAAAGAGTGGTTTAATGGTGCTGAAATTTTTTGTGAGTAAGTTTAAACATATTTGCTTCAAATCTAGACGGTTGGGATTTTCAAATTCTAAAATATTTTTTTTCTGAACACCCCTAATATATATATATATATATATATATATATATATATATATATATATATATATATATATATATATATATATATATATATATATATATATATGTATATATAAATATATATATATATATATATATATATAATATATATATATATATATTTTAAACAATATATATATATATATTGTCTAAAAATTTTAATGGCTTCAGTAGTTCTTGTGAAAACTGCTATTCATGAGCGGATATGGATAGTAGTACCTGAAGCGGATATTCTAAATAATATTTAGAATACCTGCTTGAAACGATTACAATTGGTATAAAAAGTTTAAAAACATTTGAAATTAGACTTTAGAATAATGAAATTATCACCTGTATAATACAGATCATGGTAAGTCTATTCCACACCGACCATTTCTATATTTATTCTTTATATAGTTGTTTTATGTCAATTATTTTTAGTGGTAGAAAATGTAAATCTGTCAAATCTTTGTTTTTAGTTAATAATTAATGTTCAATACTTAATAACTTCTTAATGTAAAATTGTAAACTTCTATAAAAAATAATAGGTACAGACCAATTTTTTCTCTTTATTGGGTTTCTATTAAATTTTTTTAACCATCTGCAGCTTATTAGAACCATGGCCCTGTTTATTTATTTTGAAGAAAATAAAAGTTTAAATGTACAATCTTTTTTCCTATAAGAGAAAAAGTTATTTGTTTAATGGGCAGACTTAACTAATTACTTAAGCACAATAGAAACTTAAACATCTCTATCGTGACAAAAAAATTTTTACGCTGTTTTAATCTTTATTGAAATTTTAGGCTTTTTTAAAAACTTTCTTCTTTTCGTTTGTTACAGTATACAATATTTTTATATATGTTATGTATATAACATCAATACAACTTTAAAAATGTTTAATTTTGTATTTTAAAAAATTGAAAAAAAAAAAATAATAAATAAAAATAATGTGCAAGCGGCTGGACTCTCACATTGTATTTTGGAAGCGCAGCAAACTAACCACTTCGGCCACTAAGACACACTAACCTGCCAATTTTTAAAACTATTTAATAAACAAAACATGGAATGACTTTATAAAATGGCAAAAAAAAGCTACAAATCAAAATTGAGGAGGTTTTTCTGCAATAAAAGTAAAAATATTTTTACTTTACATAGTAAAATTTTACTTTATTTTAGTAAAAATATTTTTACTTTTATAAAGTTAAACTTCATTTTTAGTAAAAATATTTCATGAACTTCAAAAATGTGCAAGGATTTGAACCACAGCATTCCACTTCAGAACACTGCATGCTAACCACTTTGGCCACTAAGGCATATTTTTCAGGGAATGTTTTAACACTACTTAATAAACAAAAGACTTAATAAAAGGACAAATAAATGCAATAAATCAAAATTATGGTCAAATTTAAATTAAGAGTGAAATGATAAAACTTGATATATGTTTTAACATTACATAGTTTGAAGTTTACGTAAGTTAGATGCATACACACTTGTTCGCATTTTCTAAAAAGAAAATTTTTTTTAAAAATCAGTTAAGTTGTGATTTAATTCAAGCCCTAAAACTTCTTTAAAATGAGACAAAAATTACTATAGTTAATGTTATATTTAATTCAAAACTAATTGATGCCATTTTTTTTTTTTTTAATTAATCCTTTTAACATTCGTTTTTATTTTTTATTTTTTCAGAACATGGAATCTTCTAACTGGAAGACCAGCATATACCACTAGTATTAAAGAAGGTAATAAAAAAAAAAAAATTTTGTTTTATTAATTGAAATATTCAATTCTAAAATTAACTTACTTTGTTCTATTAATACTGTTTCATGTAAAGTTTCATGATTTTTAATTTATAAAATTATCAATATATATACAGGGTGGCCCATAAGTTTTGTCCCCCCCTTCCTTGCATGACTTCAGTTAGTCTAGTAATCAGACAAAATATGTTTATACGCAATAAGCACTATATTTCAATCATATTAAAAGTCAGGTCATACAAAATGACTGTTACAGTTTATTAATAACTACTGTGTCCTCCATTGGCAGCACGAATTTCCTGGACACGTTTTGATAGTGATTCAACCAACAAACAGAGATAGTCACCAGTCACAGAAGACCACTTGTCTTTCACCCGTTCCACAAGTTTAACTCTATTTTTTGGCTTAGGAGCCTCAAAGACACTTTGTTGAAGCAAGTTCCATAAATGTTCAATTACATTAATATCTGGACTGTTCCCAGACCACAATTCTTTTGGAATTATCGACGGAAAGTTTTTTGCACAAAATTGCTGAACGATTTTTGCTGAAAAAGAATCATATCTTGATTAAAAAACATTTTTCTCTTATCAGCAGTATCACTTTGATGGTTTCTTGTAGTAGCCTCAACATATTTTGGTAAAATGTGATTCATGTAATAATCAGCATTAACTGTCTGCTTCTCTGGCACAACAACCAATTCAGTCAATCCATACCGTGACATACCACCACACACCATAATTTTCAATCCAAACTTAGGACGAACAGCTGGAGTGATCTTTGATTTGTCATCGGTCCGTATTCGCATATTCTGACGATTTGGAACTGGAAATAACTCAACAGGGCTTTCGTCTGTCCACAGAACATGGCCTTGTTTTTGTCTACCAACATGGTCATCTTGAAGGTAACCATTTTGTTCCAACCAATCACAAAATTTCAAGCGATCATTTCGATTTTTTTTAGTCAATAGTGGTTTTATTGGTTTATGGTAAGCCACTTTACCCCATGGTTGATGTTGAACAAAACGTTGCACTGTTGAACGAGAAATTTGTTTTTTACGTGTAATGTATCGTTCAGAAAAGTTTAACTTTTTTGCACAACTTCTTGTTGATGAACCCCACTTGTCCTTCAATTCACTGATTATTAACTTTTTTGATGCTGGTGACAACACAGTTGGACGACCACAGCGTTTCTTTTCATTAAAGTTTGTATTAACAGTTTTTCTCCAGTATCGCTGAACGCTTTTCTCACTGCAGCCAATTGCAGCAGCTACTTCAGCTTAGATTTTCCTAATTTACCTAACTCAGCAATGCGTTTCTTCAGTGATGCTGTTAAATTTGATTTTCCAATAACTTTACCCATCTAAAAATACAGATGCAGATACAAAAAATATAGAAAATAGCACATTGTCCTCTTAACCTAAAGTGGACAAAACTTTTGGGCCTACTGGAGACAACAAAGAACTCAAGTTGCCAAAAAAATAACCTCAAAGTAAGCTGGTTCAAAACTGAAATGTGTTAGACAGTTGTAATTTAACAAAACTTAACAGAAAATCTTGCAATGAATACATTCACCTACTTTTCTAGGTCTATTTTTATATAGCACAAATTTTTTTATAATTCAAATTTATAACTTTTACAAACCTCTGGTCAAGTGTAAAATCGAAATTTCTCAAACTTTTTCCACCTCGTAAAAGTAAACAACTTCTAGTAAACAACTTGCAAAAACATATCAATAAGATTGTATGTTGTCTTTTCTTTTTCAGTAAAAACGATGAGTAGTCATAACGGGTGGACAAAACTTACGGGTCACCCTGTATATATATATATATATATATATATATATATATATATATATATATATATATATATATATATATATATATATATATATATATATATATATATATATATATATATATATATATATATATATATATATATATATATATATTATAATCATAAATGCAAGATAATTTATATATATATATAAAATATATGTAAGATAATATATATATATATCGCAATCATAAATGCATAATAATTTGATATAATCCTCCTTTCAGTGCAAACCTTGTAACAAAAATAGGTCAATGTTTTTTGAACCTCATTGACATCCACTTTCCAGTTAACCACAAATTCATAAAATATTTAATAGAAACACGATCAAAATAAGTTATTCTTGCATGCCAAACATAAAATCCATTATCAACTCTCACAATAAAAGCATTTTGCATAAGGAGGTAAAAACTAATGAAATGAAATGCAATTGCATTGACAAATTCAAATGTCCAATGAACAACCATTGCCTTTCCAACAACATTGTTTTTCAGGCCGCCATCTATTCAAACAATATATATATATATATATATATATATATATATATATATATATATATATATATATATATATATATATATATATATATATATATATATATATATATATATATATATATATATATATATATATATATATATATATATATATATATATATATATATATATATATATATATATATATATATATATATATATATGAAGACCATAAAGGTAAAACTACAGATGTCCACTTTTTGAAAATTTCCAGTAATATATATTTTTATGATATTTTAGTACTAAGCTATTTTAATTTAAAAATTCATAAAAAGACTGTGTTTTAAATTCATTTAAAAAAAAAGCTCAATTTAATATTCTGATTCTGATCTTTTTAATTGTGAAGTAATTTGCTTAGATTTCCCCCCTCCCTCCCCCCTCCTCAAAAAAAATAAAAAAGCCTAAACGTTTGAAAACAATATGTATACTATTCCGTGCAATTTGTTTTATTTTTTATAATAATAAAAGTCATATTTTATTTACTATGATGAAACTGTTGGAAACAGATGGTCTGATGCTGTATGTTTTATGCTGCATGATTTTAATTTATCAATTATCTCAAATGTAAAGGCTATCAAATTGACTTGCAATTTATGTACTAGACAAAATACAAAATGAAAAGTTTTAATTTGATTTTATTAGGGTTCGGAAATTTACATGCATGCATGCATGCGCATGTTAAAAATGCGCATGCATGCGCATTTTTATCATCCTGTCCAAATGCCAGTCTCGAAGAAAAACGACTGTTTTCGAAACGCAAATCAGAATCACCAGCACATCCTCTCAAAATGAACACACTCAACCGATGCAAGCCTCACAAGAATCGCTTTCACATGTAGCTGACACAACAATTGGAGAATGGAAGGCAGATGTTGACATGAAATTATTAAACTACTTCTATAGAACTGGCATTTCTCTACGACTAGTTGAATCTGATGCATTCAAGGATTTCGTTAAGGCGCTCAATCCAGCATACGCAGCTGCTATGCCGAGTGCAAAGACCTTATCAGGACCGCTGCTCGATAAGCACTTTAATAAGTGCTCTGCTGCTGTCGATTTTTGAAGTTGTTTACGATTAGAAGTATTAGAAAATTAATTTTATGTTGTTTTTCAACACAATTGATTTGCATAAAATTTGATTTACTAGCTTAATCTACATGCGCATGTACATGCATGCATGTGCATGTGCATGTAATGTATGACATGCGCATGCATGCATGCATGTTGCCGAACCCTAGATTTTATTATCTAATTTATAAAACTGAAAAACTTGACAATATTACTGTTTCATTACCTATTAGGACTCTGTAATATTCTGTATAGGCATTACACCTCTATAAAATGTGATAGAAACGTTGGCCAATGCAAATCAAAAGTTTCTTGCAGAAACACTAGATGATCTCACAAAAAACCATAACAATTCAATATTGTATATAAACATAATACAAGAAAAATTTCTGAAATTTGCAGAGTTTCAAAGCCAAAATTCTTGGTTGTTTGTTCATTTAAGACATGTTCACTTAGAGAAATGGAAATATTAAAGGCTAGTTAAAGTTTAATTATATGGAAAAATGGAAATATTTAATTTTATGTGTTACGTCCCATATGTTTAGATTAATGATCTATGTGCTGTTTAGATTAATGATCTATAGTTCCATCGCCTTTTTTTTTGTTAAAAATTTAAAGACTTACTAAATCTAAACTTTTTCTTAATGGACAAAATAAGACATTATTTGATCTTATTTGATCTTTTTTTTTTTTTAATTTATCTTATTTTTCTTTAAAAGTAAAATTATTTTTTTTATTAACATTGTGTTCACAATTGGTTTTTGTATGGTTTATACAAACTTGATATAAAGTTATGGAACACAGACATCATGGAATCATCTGTGCTAAATAGATGAGGTTGGGGAAGAGATAAGGTTGCAATGCTATTTTGTATAAAGTTAAAAAAAAACTTTCATAAATTTTGTTTAAATTTTTTTTTATTAAAAGAAGGTAGGGGGGAAACTAAGTGTGTGATGTGTATTATCTGAAATGAGTGTCTTGGCCCAAATGGAGAAGACATATATATGTATCGTATATATATTGTTTTTGATATTTTATATCGTTGTTATTTAGCCGGCCATTAATACCTCAGCTATTTCTTTTAAGAAGTTTCAATCTTGTTTTTGTTTTAGTAAAAAAATAATATTTAATAAGAATTTCGTATCAAAAATCTCAAAGAAAAAAGCTCTTCTCTTTAAATCTTGAAATAAAATCTCATGTTGGTCTTTATCCTTATGTTGTTTTTTATCTGTATTAATAATCCTCCTAACAATCTTATCTCTCAAGGCTGATGATTTGATGACGATATAAGTTTATATTCCATTTCAACAAAAAATCATAGTTTTTTGGTGACTTAACGTAAGCAGCACAATCTGATTTTAAATTTAATTTGACAATTTTGTGAATTTAAGTAGTGAATTTAAACTCAAGCAAAATTCACTTATTTTCTGCAAATCATTTTCGGACTAATGTTTAATAATGATTTCGGAAGATTCGAAATGATTCTGCTGGAGTAAAGTTCTTACGTATTCCTTTTTTTAAAATTTTTTTGGATTATTTTTCTCTACTGACCTCTCATAAAATATTTGATCAATTGCAAAGTTAGCATCTGCGTTGTCTTTATTGCTTTTTTTTTTCTCCTGTTACTTCCTGTTTTTAATTTTATTTTAGACACTTTCCACAATAAAAATATGAAAAGATTAATAATGAAAAAAAAACTATTTTTTAGCCATATATGTGTGATATATATGGTTAAAATATATATATACAGACACACAAATATGGCAATATATATGGCACATAAATACAATATTATGATAAACACAAGCTTCATCTACACATCTACAAAAACCTCCTTTTTTTTTTTTTTTTTTTTTTTTTTTTTACAAAGCTCTTCATTATAATGTTTCAGGAGAAAAATCTACCTTAAAAATACCTGCCAAACTGATCATATCATTTTGTTTGATAGGAATAGATTTTGGAGTTTGAATGGAATAAAACTTGGCTGTTTTAATCTGTTTAAATTCTTTCTTATGAATTTTTTCATTGAAAAAACTGTAAACTCTGTGAAAAGTTACTCTGGTAATAACATAAATTAGATCTTATATTGGTGCTGGTGAAGTTTCCTAGCTGTCGGGAAGACAATTTACTTAGGATTAATGTCAGAAAGGGCATTCAGTAGTAAAAACATGTTTCAACTTTTCTATATAATTTTCAAACAAGAAAAGTTATGGAAAACCAATCCAAGCCACAATTGTGGAACCACAGGTATTAAACCAGAAAGAAAGAAAAAAAAGATAGGTGCAAATAGATAACATTACTTTAAAGTCTATTTTTAATCTTTACTAACTTAGCTTAATATGTCTATATGTTAATCTAAATTATTTTTAAGTTAAACAACACCCATGATTCCACACTTGTGTGATTGAGGCAGGTTTCCGTAATGCCGTTTTCTAATTTAAATATTTCTTGAAAATTTAAATTTTTATTCAATGGTAAAGATGAATTTTTTGTTTTTTTATTTTTAATTCTTAATTTTTAATCTTAAAATTAAAATACAATAAAGAATAATAAGAGTAAGATTACAAAAACTAATAATGACAACAAAACATTACAAAAACTAATAATGACAACAAAACATTACAAAAACTAATAATGACAACAAAACATAACAAAAACTAATAATGACAACAAAACATTACAAAAACTAATAATGACAACAAAACATTACAAAAACTAATAATGACAACAAAACATTACAAAAACTAATAATGACAACAAAACATTACAAAAACTAATAATGACAACAAAACATTACAAAAACTAATAATGACAACAAAACATTACAAAAACTAATAATGACAACAAAACATTACAAAAACTAATAATGACAACAAAACATTACAAAAACTAATAATGACAACAAAACATTACAAAAACTAATAATGACAACAAAACATTACAAAAACTAATAATGACAACAAAACATTACAAAAACTAATAATGACAACAAAACATAACAAAAACTAATAATGACAACAAAACATTACAAAAACTAATAATGACAACAAAACATAACAAAAACTAATAATGACAACAAAACATTACAAAAACTAATAATGACAACAGATTGTAAAGATTCTTTCTCAAATTTGAGTTGTTTTTAAACAATTTTATTTTATGCAAAGTATTGTACAAATGTGTAACTATTAGAAAACTTCATTAAAACTAATTTAACTTTAAGGATTGTTTATTTATTTGGTAAAAGTTGTATTTATATACAAATGGAAATTAAAAAAACAACCGTCACATTAGCATATCTTTGTAGTACTATTAAGCTACGATTTCTATCTAATCCATGGGTACAGTTATAATGAATTACAATTAACTTTTAGTATTAGTAATTAACTTATTGGTAAGATTTTGATCTCTTGAACAAAACATACTTGTGAATAAATAATTGTCAATTAGTTTGTTTTTTATATTTTTTTGGAACACTGATTTTTAAAAGTACTTTTCTAAACAAAAAAATTCGTGAAATTTTAAACTTTTTTTTGATGTTTAACTTAAATTTTTGTTACAGTTGGAGAAATTATTCGTTGGTCACCTAGTGGAGATAGTTATGCTGTTGTGGTTGGTTGCAAACTGACTGTTAATAAAATTACTGTATATCATTATCAAGTTATTTTGTTTATAATTTGATCTTTAACATTTTGTTTTGATTATTTTAATACATTTGTAGAAACATGATAGTGGAAAAATTGTATACTGGAATTTTTGGTTTTTGTGTAATATGTGTATAAACACACACACACACACACACACACACACACACACACACACACACACACACACATTTTTCAATAGAATATTGTTCTTGACTTGTGTTGGTATCATAAATTTTTGTTTCGTTGAAACGTTTACTTAATTAATCTGTCACTAATAATTTTTTCAAAATAGATTTTGTTAATAATTTTTACAAAAAGTATTTATGTGTATTAAGGTTTGTAACATAAATTCTTATTTAAATTATAAAAACTGTGAAACTGAAATGAGACAATAAAAATATAAATATTTTTATATTATTTATAGGGAATTGACGAACCACATATATACACATGTGAAAAGTACATTTTGGCTATAGAATATCTGACTGTAATTTATTTTGTTTTATATATCAAGAAATTTTTATAGAATACTTCTAGTTGCTATTCTCATCTAAAAAATTTTATGTATTGATATCGTGGTTCTTTTTTTTTATGTATTGATATTGTGGTTCTTTTTTTTTATGTATTGATATCGTGGTTCTTTTTTTTTATGTATTGATATTGTGGTTCTTTTTTTTTAGGACTCTATAATTATGCTTGCAGGCGAGTTTAATGATATTATTATTTATAATTTTCAAAAATCGTCTGTTTTGCAAAAACTTTGTGGACATAAAGTCAGGTTAGACTTTTTAACTATTCATTTAGGTGTTATTTAGAAGTTAAAATTTAAACTTAGTTTAAACTCAAGGGTATAATTCAAAACTAAAAAAAAAATTTTGAAATTTTTTTATATGATATATATATATATATATATATATATATATATATATATATATATATATATATATATATATATATATGTATATATATTAATGCGTGCGGTCGTATGGCTTATATGACCACACATTAACTATTTTGTTTTAACAACTTGGCTACAGCTCCTTGCGTGTTTTAAGTTAACGTGTTTAAAAAATGTGCTAAAAAAACAAACAATAAACTAAAAAAAAAAAAACAAAAAAAAAAATTACAAAACTAAATTAAAAAAATAAAAATCTTAACAAATAATAAAATGAATAAAAAAAATATTGAATTTAAAAGTGTTTCACTACAAAAAATTTAGAAAAAATTGAAGTTTCAAAGTTATTTAATCCTAGTCTAATTATTTCAAAACTTAAATATTTATAAATTTGAAATTTTGATATTTTCTAGTATCTACAAAAAAATAAAACATTTAAAAAAAATTATCGTTAGTAGAATTTAAACTCTTGAACAATGCTGATGTAACAGTCGTGCCACATAAATGACAGAATGAAACTATGCGCTACATCTATGATATAGGAAAAATTATTAGCTTTAAAAATTAATTGAACGCTTTAAAATTAGTTAAGTTCGAGCTATGAAGATGCTTCTAAATTAAAACTATATTACTTTTATGTTTTTATTTTCTCTGGTTTATCCTTTATTTTTTTATCATTTGTTAAGTTCGTTTCTTGTTAAAGATAAAATAAAAGTTAAGTTTATGGTTGGTTTATTTTTAGTTTTCTCTTGAAATTAGTTTTTTCAGCGCGTTTTTTAAAACAAGTTGTAAAATCAATATATGCAAAAAACCGTGACCAAGTGTTGTCAAAAAAAAGTATTATATGTGTGGTCAAAAATATTGTATGTATCAAATAACAAATGCACATTTACACTAGTATGCAAAAGAAGATCTATAGCTTTTGGAACTTACCTTCTCCTAGATAAGTTGGTTTACTAAGGAAAAACCTAGGAGAAAGAAAACTTGAAAATGTAAAACTCTTAATAGTAGGTAAAGGTAGGAGCTACATAAACCTTGGATGGTAATCCTCCTAGTAGTAGTATTATTCTAATGGTAGTATTATCCAAGCAGTAGTATATTCTCCTAGTGGTTGTGTTATTGTTGTGGTAGTATTTAAGATGTGCAACCACATGCATCTTGTGAAAAAGTTTGATATACATACATACATACATATATGTATATATTTATATGTATGTATGTATATATATATATATATATATATATATATATATATATATATATATATATATATATATATATATATATATATATATATATATATATATATATGTATATATATATATGTATGTATATATATATATGTATATATATATATATATATATATATATATATATATATATATATATATATATATATATATATATATATATATATAACTTTCAATATATATATATATAATAATAAATAACTTTCAATTACTCATTGTTTTCAATAAATTAATTAATTTTTCAAGAAAGTTAAAGAATGAGATGACATTTAAAAAAATATTTATGCCTTTTTTTTTAATTATTTTTATCCATGGTACCCTTAATTCACAAAAAATCACCAACTTTTTTTCCAGCAAAGCATCACCAGACCATGGCTGATGCTTGACTTTTGGAATCACACATTGTTTTATCACATGTTTACCAAATAAACGAAGAACAATCATTTCCTCAAAAAAACTATAAACAACAACAGTGAAAAAAAGTTAATTAAGTTAGTTTTACAACAAAATATATCAATGTAAACCAACATTAAAAAAATGCATATTTAAAAAAAAACATTCATAACGAAAATACCATTTTATGTAACAAAAAAAAAAATTGTTAGCAAAACATTTTGGTGAAGATTTAAAAAGTTCATTTAAATAAAGCAGAAATATTTTTTTTTAAATATTTTGAATAACTAAATGTTATAAAATAAAAAATTATTGGTTGCACATAACAGTTTCTTTTACAATTCATAGAAAAACTTATTTAGAGTAAAAGGAGTTGCTATTGGAGATCAAGATGACAAGAAAATCTTCATATTTACAGTTTCATCAGATGGAAATATTAAAGCATGGTGCTTGAATAAAGAAAATGTAAGTAAATGTTGTTATTTTGATCAATATCAAGATCTTTTTCAGATTTATCAATATCAATATCAAAATCTTTTTCATTTAAGAGTTTAGAACTTTGGATTAGGAATTTCTATGTAATACTGGGATGAAATAAATAACAAATGCATATTTAAACAAGTAGGCAAAAGAAGATCTATAGCTGTTGGAACTTACCTTCTCCTAGATAAGTTGGTTTACTAAGGAAAAACCTAGGAGAAAGAAAACTCAAATGTAAAACTCTTAATAGTAGGTAAAGGTAGGAGCTATATAAACCTTGGACGGTAATCCTCCAATGGCAGTATTTTTCTAATGGTAGTATTATCCAAGCGGTAGTATATTCTCCTAGTGGTCGTGTTATCGTTGTGGTAGTATATATTCCTAGTTGTAGTATTATCCTAGTGGTAGGATATCCTCTTAGTGGTAATATTGCAATATGAAATACTCAGTCCTAATCTGTAAAACTGGTTAATGCCATAAAGTGCAGTTGTTAAAAAATTTCTTTTTTATAATCTCATATTATTAGAAAAGTAAAAAAATGGCATTATAAAAATCATTGTAATTAATTGTGAAGTTATGTAAAAATAAAAAGTCTAAAAAAATTTAAAAAATCAAATTAAAAAATCATTTAGTATTTCTTTTAGTATTTCTTCTATTTTAGAACTTCTAAATTTTAAATGATTACCTTATATGAATTATTACCTTATATAAGTTTACGTTTTTCTATAATAAAAATGTAGTAACAAGTTTTCTTATTTACTTGTGATTAGGATTCACTTTGTTCTTTAATAATAATTTTTTTAATTTCTATAATATATTTTGTCATTACTATTGCTTATTGTTATTTTTATAAATATTTATATTACTATTTTTGACTACTTTTAACTGAAAACTACTTTTACTTTTTACTAATATTAATATTGTTATTATTATCATTATTATTATTATAGTAATTGTTATTGTTATTTTTAGTGTATTGTTGTTCTAATAATTGTTATTTTTATTACTGTCATTGTTGTTGTTGTTATATTATTATAGTATAACTTTTTACTAATATTATTGATATCTCCCGACGGGCATTTGTTTTTAAAAGTTACGTTCTAAATGTGTTTTAAACGTCTTTTAAACGTCTTTTAAACAATATAATTTAAAAAACGTTTAAAAGACATTTAAAATACATTTAGATCGTAACTTTTGAAAACAAATGCCCGTCGGGCTATATTATATTTATTGTTGTTATTTATTGATATTATATTTATTGTTGTTATTATCTTTATTTTAATTATTATTGAATTTGACAGGTGTTTACTTAATATTAGTACTCAATACTATTTGTAAATATCCTTGTTTGATGAACTTTTATTCAAATATAAAATTGATTTGATTTGATTTGTGATTAGTGTTTTTACTTGTGATTAGGGTTTTTATTTGTGATCAGGGTTTTTACTGTTAAAATATTTAAAAAGAATAAAGTTTTTTTTTAAATAAAGTTAATTTTGCTTTAAAAATATCTTTATGCAAATTTTGATATAGTACGAGGATCATTCTTTGCTGGCAAGTATTGATTTACCTGGAAGGCCCACATGTATAACTGTAAAGCAATCCGTGTCTTTGAAGTTACAAAATAAAGTTACTAACGAGATAACAAATGAATCAAATGAAACATATAAAAAACAGAAGTTAAAATTAGATCAGAAAAATGTTATTACTGAAAATGATGTAGAAGTTAAACATAGTAAAAAAAAAACGAAAAAAGAAACTGGTAGCAACAAAAAAGAAACTGGTAACTACACAGTTAATGTTATTTCTAAACTTCTGTAAAATTTCTTATAAAATGTCTTATTTAAAATTTTTAGATATTCCAAAAAAGCGACTTAAAAATAAAACATGACAAGTATTAAAGGTATAGATTTATGACTTTGTATTATAAACAAACCTAGAAAATAAATAACCTAGCAAAAACTGACAGTATTCATATAATTATACATTTTTTGCAATTTGACATTTTTGAATTTTGACACTTTTTGACAATTGCTGATTGTATTCAGGAGTAAAATTCTAATGCTAGATTTATACAAACTAAAATGATTTTTTAAATGATGTTCTTCTTGAAAAATTCTATTTATAATTATTTTGTTATTTTTGTATTTATGTACTTATGTTCACCTATTTATGTATTTTTGTATCCATATTTATGCTTTTTTGCTATTACAATGGTTTAGTTTTTAACGTTTTTTTGCTTTTACAATGGTTTAGTTTTTAAAAAAATGTCTTTTTTTTAAAAACTAAACCATTGTAATAGCAAAAAAACGTTTTTTTTTTAAATGAACATAATGTCTTGGGACTACCAAGTCCCGAGACATTATGTTCATATTAAAGAGAATGTTAAAAAAAAACATCTGAGCAAATTTTTTGGATTAAAACTAATTAATAAATGTATACCAAGAAAAACAAATTTTGTTGTTTTAGTCGAAGCTCGTCTTCTCCGTTTTCTCTGGTATTTTAAGTATGTAAAATAAACGCGATTTTCCAGGTGCATTATACAAACTTGATAATTTATTCAAGCGGGTTTAATTCAAAGGAGTTTTAGTGCATGACGTCATAGATTTTTTGCTTGTTTGTTTAAAACACCGATTGTTATTTTTTACATACAATTTCCAAATCATATTCATTTTTATTATATTTTGAAGTTCTAAAGTGTGTTTGTAAAACAAAATTAAAAACAAAATAAAATTAAAAACAAAATAAAATTAAAAACAAAAATAAAATAAAAAACAAAATAGTATTTTATTTGCGCAACTTTTTTTAAATAATCGTCTAGACCACGTGTAATTTGATTTCTTTTGTTATAAGTTTTTCTTTCAAAATATTAGATAAAATAATTTTTAACCTAAATAATAATACACTTTTGTTAATTTACTTTGTAAATATTAAAAAAAAAATTATTAACGCATTTTTTCTCTGATTTTCAAAAATGTATTTTTTGGTATTGAGGTGATCTTATTTCATTATTTATATTTCCATTATAACATCCAATATATATTATGGCGGGGGCTTAAAAATTAAAAAATTAATATATATTAATTTTTTTTTTTACAGACTACATGGAAACATAATTAACTTGAATGTTCTTGAAACATCTTGTAAAGCCGTAAAACTTTTAAACTATTATCATTTGTTTACAAAAATAAATGTTTTATAATATATATTTTTTAAATTGTCAAAATTTTGAAAGTTAATTACAAATTATATATTTTATTAGTATATTCTTAATTTTTATATCTTTTCTTAGTGCTTGGTTTAATTAATTGTTCGTTAGATTTGTAAAAAACTAACGAACAATTAATAAAATAAACTTTTAATAAAATAAGTAACTATAGTTAGCTATTTGAGTAAAATTTAATAGTAAAATTTTTAAAGAATTTCTAGAATGTTTTTAATGACGTCATGCTCTAAAACTCCTATGAATTAAACGCGCTTGAATAAATTATCAAGTCTGTATAATGCGCCTGGAAAATCGTGTTTATTTTACATACTCAAAATACCAGAGAAAATAGAGAAGACGAGCTTCAACAAAAACAACAAGATTTGTTTTTCTTGGTATAGATTTATTAAATAGTTTTAATCAAAAAAAATTTGCTCAGGCGTTTTTTTTTAACATTCTCTTTAATATGAACACAACATGTCTCGAGACTTGGTAGTCCCTTTAAATTATAATTAAATCTTCAAAAAAAAAAAAAAAAAGTGATTCAGATATTGTTAATTATATGCAAAAGTAGTCAATTATAAAACTCTTTTTTCATTAACTTTTTACTTTATTTATTAACATATTTAATATTTTTTTCAACTTAAACAAAACTCAGTTGTTAATGATTTTAATATGATGATGATTCTATATAGTTTAAAACTTCTAAGATAATATTTCTATGCTGACCTTTTAGGGAAACCATGGAAACCATATATTCAATTGATTGCAAAAGTAGCATTTGCTAATTTTGCCTCTCTGTATTGTGTAATTTTTACAAATTACAAATTGCAAAATTTCTTCTAATGGATAGCATTAAATAACTTAATGAAATAAAATAACAAAGGCATCAAGTAAAATGAAATAAATGTAAAATAACAAATCATTATTTATATTTAAAACACGTGTGTTTAGATAAATGAAAATAAGAAAACTTATTTAAATGATAAAAGAATAAGTTATAAGTGACTAAATTATTTTTACTAAATAATAAATGTATGCAACATGAAAACTAACATTATTAGTTTCCTTGAAGGCCATCTGTTTCGTTATTTTCTAGATAATAATGGAGCTCCTTAAGTCCCAGATATTAGAGCTGTTCTTGAAATAGCTTTGAACTCTGCAACTAACAATGTTTGGCTACATTATCATTAGAATGAGAAATACAAAATAAGAATTAAAAAATAAAATGCAAAATGAAAAAGTTAAAATTAAACGAAAAAAAAAATTAAAAAATATGAAAACACTTTTTTAGATAAAAATCAGACAAACTGAACAAGATGGAAGTTTTAGAAATTAATGTGAGTGATTTTAGCAAATATTGGTTGATTTGCTGTTTTCTGCAAACAATTTAACAAGAAGAAATTGTTTATAAAAACTATAAAATATTGTTTGAATCCGTCTCGCCAATAAAAACACACTGAAAAAATAATGACAATTTATATTTACTACTGTAACACTGTAGTTTAAACATTGATTTGAGGTGAGTTTGTCTATTATTTTTGGGTCAGATAAAGAGATAAAGAAGGCTTTTTCAAAGTCTATAAAAGTAATATTGACTTTCTTTTTGTTATTAACAGCAGTGGTCCACTTGTTTAAGACTGTCAACATCTGTGTACACTTGGATTTGTACTTTAAAAAACTGCGTTGATGAACAGAAATAATTTTATTCCTTAGAAAGTAATTTTTTTTTAATGATTATAATTAGAAAGTAAATACATTTTGCAATAATGGGTTTCATAATTTTAAAAACAATGCATGTCATAAAAGTATGTTTGTAGTTTGTGGTTATTGGTGGATTTCCTTTATTAAAAATCGGATTTACAATGGCAGTTTCAATATCTTTGGTATAACATTTTTAATTATTGATAATTCAAACATAATAGAAAAAGGAATATTTGATTTAAAATTGTAGTTAGGCTTTCATCAGGTGATTCGGAAGATTAATGATTCAAGAATGTTTTGTGGTAGAAAATCTAAGACTTATGGAATGCCATTTTTGGTGACAAAAATAGGGCTAAACAAATTGTTCAAAAGATATGATTTTTAATATTTATCTGTAATAAAAAATCCATCAGACATTGTTAGTGGAACTACCAAGTTAAAGCATTTATATTTTGATATAACCAAAAAAAAAAACTGGGTAATATTGGTTATATAAGAGAGTACGATTTATTCAGCATTATTATTTTTATTGTCTAAATTTTTCTATTCAGAAATTTCTTCATCAAATATACAATAAATCAATAAATCTTAAATATTTGGCGGTGCTTTTTTATTTTTTGTGGAAAATGAATTTTTTGGAGGTTAGTTCATAAACTAAAAGTTGGACATTGGTTTTTTCTATTATGAAGCACCAGACTATGTGAAAAAATAAATGAATTTCAATAATTTTAAATAATTTGCAAAAATGTTTTAATCTTGCTTTTACTTGGCTAACATGCCAATTTATACTAATTAAATCAGTGTTTATTACACTGTAGTCTGCTTTCTTAAAATTTTATTGGATTAGTTTTTTACTGAATTTTGGGATGTGCAAATAGCGTTTGATAGCAAAGTGCAGTTGTTGCAGAAAATTTTTTTTGGTTGTTGGTTAGTATCAGTATTTCATCATATAGTATTTTATAATTTTAAACTTTAACCCTAGGACAACAATAATAAAAAAACTTTAAATTTTCAGCATAGGTTTATTACTACAAGTTGTAGCTGTTGAACCAGCCACTTGAACTTGTCATTGTCTTAAGTTCATCTTTTGACACTGCTTTGTGGCATCCATGACTGAGTATAGAGACTAATTAATAATTTATACTTTTGTTTTATACTTAATGTTCAAACTTTAAATTATTAATGAAGTAACAGTTTCTCATTTAAAATTTTTATTACTGTTATAAATTAGTACGTTTATTTGTTTTTATCATATTTGTCTTAAAAAATTAAAATATACAGATAACATAAACACAAACTTTTACATCATTATATATATATAGTTTTCGGTGTAAAACATAAAAAGCTTATTAGAATATGGTTTTTGTAGACCATTTAGAAGATTTACAACAGTTTTGCAAAAACAACTCTGTTTTTTTCAAAATATTATATACAAAACAAAACAGCAAGATATTTGACTTGAATTATGTGAGTTAAAATCATTTTTGTCAAAAATTATGCTAATTGAAAATATTTTTGATATAAATTATGCTACTTAAAAATTTTTTAAATTTAAGTTATGCTAGTTGAAAAGTTAAAACTGTAATTAAAATATTTGTAATGGAAATAATGTTCTTGATAGATTCATAGTTTTTAATAATTTATTTCCATCGCTGATTTATAAAATCAGTTCTAAAGGTTTGGGGATTTCTTAGATTTTCACATGAGTAACTGTACCGAAGACGTTTTTCATAACGCTGACTTTTTGGCGTAACTTGCAGGGAGGGAGCTCTAGAAGTCAGTGATCTCTCAGGATACTTTATGAATATATTTTCTTTTTGAATTTCTCTTTTTAGCTCTTCATAACTTTTTTTATCCTGTACAAAAACATTAGAAATTTTATTTAAACTTTTTTTTTAATGAAAAAAATTAAATATAGAATTTTAACATTAACATTTATAAAATAAAATAAACCTGTAATTCTGGATCCCATCTTTCAAATAGCTCAATAAATCCATTTGGTTCTAATCCTTGTTTGACTTGAAAGGTTCCTATTTCAGCCATGTTTCTGCCAGTTGACACATTTTCTAGGAATTCCTTTAAAATAAAAGGTTATTATTTTAGAGTTATATTTCTATAAAGTTATAGAATTTTTTCAAATTTAAGTTTTACAAATTGTTTTTTATGAATAATTTTTCTAAAAAAAAATCTGACCTTTAATGTATCCCAAGCTCTTTCCTTTTCCAATCTATTTGCAAATTTTCCAACCCAAACAAAAACCTTTACCAATTTAACAGTAAACAATTGGTTTAATTATACAAAGAAAAAAAAAATTTGTTGCAATAAATTAATTTTGAAAATTTAAATATACTAATTAATTATTGAGCACAATTTTATATAATAAATTTGTACCTGGTTATAATTAATAAATTTGTACCTGGTTATAATGATCTAAGATCATGACTTCATCAGCATTCAGATCCTTTAAAAATCAACAGACATTTTTTTTTAAATAGAAAAATAATAAATGCATATTTGAATAAGTAAAAAAAGAATTCAGTTGTTCACAAACTGTAAAGAAATAAAATGACAATTAAGTATCCTAATAGAACATTTTATTTTTTTTAATTTATAATATATATAGTATATCATCAGCTGGTTTATAACTTAAGCTTTATTTAGGCTATAAGTATTTTTACTTATTTGAGATGGTAATACATTCGAAATTCTATTTGTCTGTATCAGTGAAACTAAATTCTTTTTGTATGTACCAGTGAAACTAAATTAATACTCAGTCTTTCTATGACTCAATCAATGTAAGCAAATTCTTTAGAAGTAAAGAGTCATTTTTACTAGATTTAAATATGTTGGTTTAGAAGTATAGAATTATTTTTATTTGATTTAAATATGTTGGTTTAATTCTAAAGTAGACGCAAATGATATAAAAGAAAACATAAATGATATAAAAATGTTTGTTTTATAATTTATACTCAATTGAGAAATATCCAAATTAACTGGTGATTTTGTTGTGTGTACTTTTTATGTGAAGAACTGGTTGTTGTTTTTTTGCTTATTGAGGTTCTCAATAATCAAGAAAATGTCACTTCTGTGATTTGTCATTTGTGCTATGTCACTTCTGTACTGTTTCTTCTCAACTTGAGTGACAAAAGGGACATCAGGTTTATTTTTAGTTATATTTAGATGAGCAAAAAATATCTGCGTACTTTTTTCAAAGAGCACAAAATATTTTTTTATCTGTCTTAAAATTAATTAAAAAAAAAATCTAGTTGATTACCTGATTCATTTATTGTTATAGCCTTTGGCACTCAGTTTATATATTTTATTACTATTTGTCTATGTTTGTGATATTTGTATGCGGGTTATTCCATATGAAATCATCAAAAAAATGTCATCCTTGCATCTTTGAATTGATTCATTTTCACTTAGTCCATAATGAGTAAATGCTAGTTTCAAACATTTTAACTGAAATTTACACATTGGTTTTTGAAATATCATCATTTGAAATAATGTAGATTTAACATATTAGTTTTAATCTAAAGAGACAACAAAGCAACTTTGACACAATATTACAATAATAAAGGTTAAATTTCTCTTTCAAAATTTAGAACCTCAATAAAACTTTGAATGAATTCAAATTAAAGACTTGAATGACTTTAAATTAAAGACTTGGTAGTCTTTAAAAATACTTTTGTTTCAATTATTTAAAGTTTATTCAATGCAAAAACGGAGGCAGGGGGAGGGGCAAAGAAGCGCCTTCTTATGCATTGAATAATTTTTGAAGATATTTTTATTTTATAATGAAATCTATTATTTTCAACCTTTGAATTAATTGTATCAAAGCTTGTTTTTTTATAACTTATTGTTTTTGAACTAAAAGAAATAAAATAGTAAAAGAAACCGTTCTCTCTCAAAAGAAGCAAAATTTTACAAAAATTTTAATAATAATATAAATTTTACACAAGAATTATTATTCTAAGTTTTATTGCATAAAAATAATTATTTTTTAACAAAAAATTAAAAAACATTTTTTGAAATTTTTATAAAGTTTCAATTCTTTTGAGACCCAACATGACATACATTTGAAAACTTTTTTTGCTTCTGTTTAGGATCTTGTTGCAAGTTTTAGACTTGAGGTGTCTCCCCTAAATCTCATTCAATTTTGAAAAAATTTTACAGAGTGTCTTGTGAGAACCAAGAGAAAGTTTTAAGAATAGGGACAGATCAGTTTTTGAAAGTATGGGGCATTGGATGCACCCTAATGTGCAGAGACCTCCTTTGTCACTCTCCTGGTCTATAAATATATGTTTTAATGTTAATGTTTTGAAAATTCTGAAAAAAAGTTACTTTTTGTGTAAGTATAAGTGTGATTTGATTAAGTATTAAAAAGACAAAGCATGAATCTATAATTTTTAATATAGATTCCTGCTTTGTCTTTTTAATACTTAATCAAATCATAGGTTCATAGATTTAAGTAAAAATATTTAAATCAATATTTTTTGAATAAAATTAAGTAAACAGTTATCTCTTTCGATATTGAGGTCCTCAGAATACCTCAAAAAAAAATCTATATGAGTTTTAAATTTTAGGAAAATTCTTTAAGCCATTTTCAAAATACTTTTTAAATGTCTAATTTGCTTTGTTGTAGTTTTAGATTATCACAAAATGCTAAATCACCATTCTTTTCAGATGATGATTTCTAAAGAAATCGATTAGTATATTTGTATATATTTGTGTATTTGTATACAGTTGTAGTATTTTTGAATTATCATTTACTTATTATGGATTGCACATAAAGTTAAAATAAACCAATTCTAAGATATAAAGGTGACATGGTAAATAAAGGTGACGTAGTCTGAATGATTTCATATGAAATTTCCCCATTAATGTTCTCTATTCGTTAAGTTAAAAAATAAGACCAATATAAAAAACAGATTAGAATAATTGATAAAGTTTATTTAAAGTTCATAATATTTTATATACCTTTTGATCAAATGGGAATATTTCATTGAATTTACGTAACTTGTTAGAATATTTGTATAATCTCAAGCCATCTCTTTTTTTGATTGCTTCCTTTAATTAAAGAAGATAATTGAATAAATGAATATATTTTATAACATTGTTTTACTTGAAGTTTTATTATTATGAAACAAAAAGAAAGAAAAAGAAGTACCTCTCGTTTTTGTAAGTTATACTTTTGCATTCCACCTAAAGCCTTCCAAAATTCTTTTGGTTCAAATCCTTCTTGAATAATGATGAGATCCCTTAATAAAATGAAAATGAGTTTTTTAAATAACTTGTTAACTTTTTTCTACAAATTGACACAAACTGATCAATTTCCTTCTATAAACTAAATTAAGTTGGTAAACTTCTTCTAAAAACTGAAACAAGTCGATCAGCTTCATCAGCTGGTGCATGGTGATAAAAGTCTGTAAAGTAGTTTGAGTCTGTAAAGTAGTTTGAGTCTGTAAAGTAGTTTGAGTCTGTAAAGTAGTTTGAGTCTGTAAAGTAGTTTGAGTCTGTAAAGTAGTTTGAGTCTGTAAAGTAGTTTGAGTCTGTAAAGTAGTTTGAGTCTGTAAAGTAGTTTGAGTCTGTAAAGTAGTTTGTAAAGTAAGCTTTCTGTAGACTTATGCAGACAATTCTTATAAAATGTAACTTATAAACTTCTTTATATTAAACTTTTATTTATTATTTATTACATAAATCAGTATTTCATACCCATTAGGTGCAATTCGATCTGCAACTAATTCTCCATAATCTTTTTCAAGCTCACTTGCAAGCTTTTGACAAAAAATGAAACAGTTTGATTATGCTTTGTTATACACAAAAGTAATTTTAGCTTATTTTAAATCATTCTCTCTTACAGTTTTTAAGTACTTTTATTTGAATTACCTTTCCTTCCCACACATAATTTTTTTTCCCAAGATGCAACAAAAATATATTATCAGAATGAAGAAGTGATCCATTAGGTGGTATCTAAACGATTTTTTTAATAAGATTAAACACAATTTTTTTCTATTAAAGTTTATTTTATTAAAAAAAAAAAATTGTAAGACCTGTCTCACTAAAGTGTTGTATGGTATAGTTCCCTTGATATGGTAAAAGGAAATTTTGTTATTTGTATTAAAAAGTTTATTTTTTGCTTTGCTGACGACATTTTTTGCATCATTAAAATCCTGTGTGTTTTCCTAAAGATATAAGAAAATAAAATTATCTTGTTTTAATTGTATTACCTAAATAATACATTAATAAAATTTGTGCAGCAAATTAAATCAAATAAAGAATGTTATTAAAAGGCATAATATTAAAAAAAATATTTTGTTTGCATGAATATTGGTGTTTATATATATATATATATATATATATATATATATATATATATATATATATATATATATATATATATATATATATCATGAAGTTGGAATAATAGGGTTCTATCTCCCTTTTGAACTGTTAAGAGAATTTTACAAAATTTGTTATATTCTCTTAAATTTTTAAAATAAAAAGTATAAATTTGTTAAATTAAAAGATCAAAATATCAAATTTCTTAAATTTATTGTTTTGAATTTATTTATTATTTATTAAGTATTTATTTAATTAATAAGT